GCTTTTTAAAGCTGAAAAGCGCTTTAAAGTTGATTCTGATCCGCTGCTTTAGTTCTTCAAAGCATAATCGCTGAAATTCTGCCACGTTAGAGTTTAAAATCCGTCATTAAATGATGTTTTTGAACAACGCTAGCGATGCTAATTTTAAGCTAACAGCTAACGACCGGATGAGTGACGTGGCTACGTCACTTCCTCCATGTCAGATTGTAAAGCTTGGTTGAACCGAAAGCTTTGTTGTGCCTAAAATCACTAAATGTAACTTGCCACATGCCCCTAAAACTCATGTTTCATGCAAAGAAGTCATGCTTGTTGAAAAAACGCCACGTTTAAGCTTTAAAACCGTTCAGAAATGTTGATTTTAACCGAGTTTAGCTGAAGCTAACTTTAAGCTAAGCGGCTAACAACAGGATGTCAACCGAACGTCACAGGAAGTCGTCATAGACTCCTGCTGGTAGAAAGCTAAACACTGCCCCCTCCTGGGAAACTTGAGATCACAGTTTCACTTCAGTTTTAGGTTTTTGAGTGAAATTAAACTTATTTATTTCTGTAAGACAAACTTTGAGTTAATAAACGTTCTTCAAGTTGAATAATCACTGTTATCTTGCATTTAAAAAGTGAAGGGTATTTATGCAGAGAGTTGAGAGTTTTTGGAGTTCAGAGAGTTCAGCTCAGTCTTGAAGCTGCTGTAAGCTCAGTCTTGAAGATGGAGTAGCAGTTCAAGCAGAGAGTTTTTGGAATTCAGATGCAGAGAGTTTGGGAGTTCCAGAATGCAAACGCAGGCATTCATGGAAGCTGCTGTATTAGAATCAAGCTGAACCAGAGACGATTTTGGGAATTATAACTTCTGTTTGGATAACCTCGCACGACTCTCGAGGTATTTAGCTGTTCTCACGGAGACGCTGAACAGTGGTTGGAAGTGAGACTCCACGCCGGAACTGATCTATCTTCAGAAAAGGTAAAAGTCGACCTTTACCAAAAGTGTACTGTTGGGACAAGCTGATTTCCAAAAGAGCGTGCTGTTCTGGTTAAAACAGACA